TAATATGCACCACTCGGTGCTGCAGCTTGGAGTCTTCTTCCTTCTTCTATCTTTAAACTGTGTTCTTCTGTTGGCTGTGCTTTGCAGCGCTGCTCAGACACGTCCTGCTGCAAGGCAGGGCCGGCAAGAACTGGGAAGCCTCAAGGGGATAAGCCCCTCCCCGCCTGACTCAAAGCTTAGAGCTGACCCTGCAGAGGAAAAAGGAGCTTCTCCCAGAAGTAAGGACTGTCCCATGATCTGAACCACTGGAGGCTACCCATATTCAGGGAGCAGCTTTCTGACTTCATTAGTGTGCCATCCTCTAGCAAGGGCACCAATGAACCCCACCACTGGCTACGGCCCCTGCAATGAAGTCAGCTACTGCCAAAACCCTGCAGCAGTTAGGGGAAAATTTAGCAGCACATCAAGCTCCTCCTACTGGCCACCTGTTATAACTGCAGGCATCTCTAAGCACGAACAGGGACATTTGCATCCGTGGCCAAAATAATTTAAAACGTACAATTCATTTTCAACATTACATGAAACTAGTTTGTTTTTGTATTTAGCGTGAAGTATCAAGCCTGCTGGTTTTTTCCTTTAAAAATACTTGACCACCTCTGTCTTGATTAGTCAAACAGCAAAACAGGCTTAGGTGCTTGCCCCAATTCATGAGCTTGAGTAAGCAGGAACAGGATTGAGGTTTATAAAATAATGCATGAGGTAAAGAAAGTGGACAGAGATGAGTTTTTCTTCTCCCTCTCCCATAATACTAGACCACAGGTGCACCCAATGAAGTTTATGGTAGGGAACGCAACATAGTATAGTTGATCTTGTCAGAACTCAGAAGCTATGCAGGATTGGTTCTTGGATGGGAGACCACCAAAAAAAGGCACTGGAGAGGAAGGCAATGGCAAACCACCTCTGCTTCTCACTGTCACACATACATTCATACATAATTAAGTTGATGGGTGATAGGTTCAGGGTGGGCAAGGGGTAGTACTACTTTACTCAATGAGTAATTAACTTGTGGAATTCACTACCAGTGAACATAGTAATGGACATGAGGGTAGGTGGTTTTAAGATGGCATTAGACAGGTCCATCAACTGCTACTAGTTATGCTGACTAAAGGGAAGCTCCATATTTAAATTGAGACTTTGATGTTGGATTTGTAATTGGTTATTTGTGTTGTATTTTATATTTTGTATTGTGAATTTTGAATATTGAAAATGTTTTCTTAGTTTGTATGTTTAAAGTTTTTTAAAAAGAAAAATCTCTATCTCCCTTAAAAAAAAAAGCCCCTATTTGCCATATTTAGAGGCAGTGAACATCTAAAATGCAACTGGTTTGGCCACAGTGTGAAACAGGACACTGGCCTAGAGGGACCACAGGTCTGGTTTGTCAAGACTCTTCTGTCCAGGGGGGGAAAAGAGCCTGTTCAGGCTGAGACCTGCTCCTTGTTTAGGCTTATAGAGAGGACATAAATAAGTGGTTTCACTGCAGTGTTGGGAGGGGCAGCTGTATTCTCTTGACAGCCCATGACCCAAGATGAAAAGCAGGCATATGAATATTTTAAAAACACATTTTATTTGGGGCTGTAACCATAGCATGACAGCAGCACTGTGACTTACTGGGAATGTTCCCATTGGGCTGCTTTGCCAGCCGAACTTAGACCTGGTTCATGGGAATGACAGCAGCCCCACCCTGGCCACTTGACTGAGCATGCTCAAGGGCTGCCTCTGTTCCCCAATGATACTCTAAGACATACTTACTTTAAAAATGATAGGCCAACATAAATAGCCACTGATGTACCCCTTTCTCTTCCCCACATTTTGACAATTGCTTTCCTGAGGCCTACAAGGAACAACCCAAAGGGGGAAAGCAAATGGTTAAGGAGATGCTGCTTAATACAGGTTGGTGTTATCATCTCACACCCACATCACATTAGGACCTCAGAGCATAAGAGGAGACTGCTGGATCACACCCCGGTCCATCTATTCCAACATACTATTTCACACTGCAGCCAGTCCTCCAAAGGAAGTTTAGAAAACTTATTGAGGACCAAAAGTTAAAAACATAAGTATACAAAAGAGTGTTTATTAGGGGTCCAAATAAAGCCTCATAAAATGTTGTTACAAATACACAAAAAAGGACAGTGTATGAACTGACACATTTCCCCTCTCTTTTTTTTTGGGGGGGGGGGGTCACACTGCAGTCAACCGGTTGCCCTGGAGGACTAAATAAACAGGGCATAGAGGCTGAGACCCTTCCCTGCTGCTGTCTCCCAGCACTGAGATTCAGAGGTGTGCTGCCTCTGTATGTGGAAGCTCCCTTCATTCACTGCAGCTAGTAGCCAGTCACTGATGACCCTCTCCTTGGCCAATTCATATCACTCTGTTTTAATACTATCTGTGCCCGTGGCCATTGGTTCCTCCACTGACATTGAATTTCAGTTAAATTACTTGTTGAGCAAAGAAGTTTGTCTGTCCTGAACCTATTTCTCAACGATTTCATTGGGTGACACCCCCCCGCCAAAGTTCTAACATTATGCTGTTTCTTCAGTAACATTTTAGGCCTAGGTCTGTAAGAGGGCTATAAGTGTACAGCAAACACAGAGAATGCCACGGGCTCCATCTTGTCCGTGGTGAACGCACACAGCAAAATTGTGGCAGGAAGCAGCAAAGCTCTTCTTCCCCCACCCTGCCAGCCCACTGGGGAGTGGAAGCTTGTGAATCTAGTCCTCTCCCTTCCCTCAGGCAAAGAGCACAAGCTAAGACTAGTCTGCATTCCAGGCCTGAGTGGAAGAACAAGGGGTCAGCGTGGGATAGGAGAGGCACGCAGGGGTCACCCACTGCCTGTAACAGCTGAGCACCTGTACATGTAAATAGGCAGAGAGAAGCAGCAACTGGGCGCTGTCAGGATCCCTCTCTGTGCAGAACCACATTAAGCCCTAAGTGTTAAGGGAACACCATCTGCCCCGAGCAGAGGGAGAGGCCCTCGGCTCTCTCCATCTCTGCTGCTGGCACTTTGGGAAGTTTTATTTATGTTTGGATTACCCCGAAGGCTCAGGGTGGCTGACAAGGGCACTATGTGCCAAGGTTATAACAATAAAACACATAATATAAAACAATAATTTACAATAAAATATAGTAATAAATTTACAATACAAATTTAACCAAGATGGGTAGATCTTAACCTCCATAATAACTTCCTGAGATCTTGTCATCCAATCCCTGCCCGGACACCTCGCTCCCCCCAGTGGGGTCCAGATAATCATGATGGTAATACAACAGTGCATAGGAGGTGAAGGTGGAATAGTAGTGGCGGCGGCTCCTACTCAAAGGCCTGGCGGAAGAGCTCCGTCTTACAGGCCCTGTGGAACTGAGAAAGGTCTCACACGGCCCGGATCTCTTCCGGGAGCTCCTTCCACCAGGTAGGAGCCGCCACTGAAAATGTCCTGGTCACCGCAAATTTAACATCTCTAGGGCCTGGAATTTCCAGGAGATGACGCCCCCCCGGACCGTAGTGCCCTTGGGGGAACATATGGAGAAAGGCGGTTCCTCAGGTAGGCTGGACCCTGGCCATAAAGGGATTTAAAGGTCAAAACCAGTACTTTGAAGCGAATCCGGTACGCTATTGGCAGCCAGTGCAGTGCTTTCAGCACAGGCTGAATGTGGTCCCTCCTCGAGAGACCCATCAACAGCCTGGCCGCAGCATTCTGCACTAGCTGCAGCTTCCAGATTTGCGACAAAGACAGCCCCATGTAGAGAGCGTTACAGTAGTCTAGCCTTGAGGTGACTGTCGCATGGATCACTGTGACCAGATCCTCACGGCTAAGGTAGGGGACCAACTGCCGAGCCAGCCCAAGATGATAAAAGGCTACCCCGGCAGTGGCTGCCACCTGGGTCTCCATCATTAAAGAGGAGTCCAGGCGCACCCCCAAACTCCTAACCTCTGACGCTGGTACCAAAGGCATCCCATCGAAGGTCGGGAGAGGGAGCCCCAACCCCAATCCGATCCGACTCAGGCCCAGGACCTCCGTCTTTGCCAGGTTTAGTTTCAACCGGCTCAGCCTGAGCCAACTAGCCACAGCTTGTAACGCCCGATGCAGGTCATCGGGAGTAGAGTCCGACCAGCCGCCTAGCATCAGATAGAGCTGGGTGTCATCAGCATATTGATAACACCCAAGCCCACAACTCCAGGCAATCTTGCAAGGGGGCGCATGTAGATGTTAAACAACATTGGGGACAACACGGCCCCCTGAGGCACCCCACACTCAAGGGGATGTCTCTGGAACATTGCAAGTGTATGTGTGGCTGTGAGCAGACAGGCAGGTAAACAACCAAACTAGATTCTTATTGTACCCAACTTCTCCTGCTGTGCAAGAGCATCAGTGCTCACTGGCCCCAACAATGACCTTTTTACATTTTAAAATCCAGATCATGTTTAATGTCTTTAAAAAGTTAATTTTGCAAACCCTCCTTTCTGTCCCTGTGATTTGACTGTTGCAGATATATTCTGTCTTTAATCAACAGCTAGGGTGAGTCTCCCCCCACCCCCAACCCCACTCATACACATCATGGAACTGTGCAGTGCTTGAATCTCAGAATTCAAATTGCAGAATATTGTGACATGTTGGGTTCTTGTATCCCACACAGAAATACTTTGCAGTACCATCTTGTAGCAAAATGGCTGGATTTCTACTGCAAAGATGGAGGGTATAAAACAGTTAATCTCAGAGTCCAGCAAACACGCTACATGCCCAGGCAGGTCTGTTGATATTAATGCTGTTGCCAAGGAAACGGCACCTAGGGGTCCAATCCCAATGCAAGCCTGTTAAACCCACAACTGAAATCAGCACACACATACAGAGATGGTCTCTAAGATGCTCTTTCCAATTCCAAACACACAGAAAGAATTCTCTCTCCCTGTTCCCATTTTTTTTTAGGTGAGTGCAAGTATGAGGTGATTGGGAAATGTATGCTTTCTTCTTCTGTCCCATTATGTATGAATTCCCACTCCAATCTATTCTGTGGTTTATTTTAACCATGGTGCATTGTTACATCTTCACCCACGTTGGTCATGCTTAAGTTTAAGCCTTGAGAACCATGGTTTGAAGAAGGGAGGGGGACAAGCTGTTTGTGTTCCTTGCCTGGGTGGAGAGAAGGAAGCACGCTGCTCTCTGTTTCTCCTAACCATGGTTTAGGAGATTGGGCACATTACATTTGTATGGAACACAGGGTGTACTGCTTCCTATGGGGGCTGAACAAGGAGACAGGGTGAGGAATACGATCTTCTGGTAAAAAGGATGCTGCAAGGAATTCCATCTGACCTGAGAGATGGGTTTAAAATGACAACAGGAAGTACAAGAAGAAAGCTTGGCATGCAGGACAGCACAGAATCTGTCCATATTTTCAGAGGGTAGCCATGTCAGTGTGCAACGGAACAGCCAGACTCAAGTCCTGTAGCACCTCAGAGACCAACAAGAATCTTGAGGAGCTTTGGTTCTCAAAAGCTTATATCCCAAAAATCTTGTTGCACTCAAATCTAGCTTGGTCCATATTGACATTATAATTCTTTGTGCCACCTTTTTCCTCACTAAAAGAATATTATCCTTCTTAAATTTACTCTAAGTAAGAAGCCAGCCCCAATGGGTATTAATCTTTCCACAAGCATGCGCTCTTCAGAACATCCCTGCTGCGCTTCATCTTCCACTAAGGCATCCCAGAATGAGACATTCCCTGAGATTCTCTCCTGTTCAGTTGCTCCAGATATCTTCATGTCCTTGCAGAACTGTGAGTCAACTAGCCCATGTTATCCTCCAGAGGAACAGGCCCTCTGCTTGGGAGTGTTGAGAACATCTGCCAAGGCATGAGGATGGGCTGGTTTTCTTCTTTTAGATGTCAATGATGACAAAGACCTCTATTTTTTCTTTCTCGTGGATCTGCATTGCTGAGTATGTTATAGCTTTGACCTCTGTGCCCTGAAGAGGAATAAGAAAAGAAAAGGAAATTGTGCAGTTAGGTTTCTAGATTCCTGTGTGCAAAAACAGGATTTTTTTTTCAGTCAAAGCATCCTCAGTCTCCTAGAATTTTTTCAATTCTGTGTTCAATTGCATTTGTTCATCCAGACATTGTCCCACTTTCCAAGGCCTAGTGCAGACAAAATGCCATCCAGTTTCCAAACAGTGGTTTTGCAAATTAGAGCACTTCACGGACTTGCATGTTCCTGTGGGCATTCATCCTTCATTTCTACTTTGCAGCCTTTCCAGGGTTACCATTAAGTCTTTACTTATGGCCAGCTACAGTTACCAAGATGATTTGCAAGTGGGTTGACTACTTGCAGTCTAACAATGGCTATCAAAAGTTTATTTCTTTACTTGATCTACATCCTGCCTTTCTCCCCAACAGGAACCCAAAGCAGCTGACAGTGTTCTCTGCTCCTCCATTTTATCCTCACAACAGCCCTGTAAGGTTGGATAGGCTGAGAGTGTGTGACTGGCCCAAGGTCACCCAGCAAGCTTCCATGGTAGAGTAGGGATCTGAACCTGCATCTCCCATCTTCCTTACTGACACTCTAACCACATCACCACATTGACTCCTGTGCAGTCATATTATTTAACCACTACTTTCAAAACTGAAATGGAAGGAAGGCCATGCCCATGCAGGTGATGGGAAGAGGAACGGGTGGGGACTCCCAAGCAACAAGCCATGTTTGGGTGAATGCACCGTGCAACATCCGCAGCAAGGCTAAAACTCTGAGCAAGGAATAACAGCAGCAGCATCTTTCAGTTGAATAGTAGGAGGGAACATGCTACCACAATCAGTGGCTTCTGCTGTCACCGCCTCACCCCACCCTCCATTCTGAGGACATTCTCATTTCTAATCACAGGTTGCGCCCTCCAACTGCAACCCTCTTTGTTCCTCCTGAATCACTGGAGTCATCCTGCCCCCAATGGGCTTATGAAAGAGCTAATAGAACTATGTCTTGCGGCTGCTAGGAATGTCATTGCATTTCACTGGAAATCTAAGACGACGCTGCAATTGAGCGACTGGTACCTGAAACTGTGGGACTTTTTTTTACAGGACAAAGTATCCACTAGTATCCTTCGATCTGAGAATCAACCCGTTCCTGACAATCTCCAAGAAAAATGGATGCCCCTCTTAGAAGCGTCAGCAGCACATAAAATCGACACTTCCCTGTTTGCTCTTCATAAACATCAGGACTTGCTTTCTTATTTTTAACTGTTTTTTAAAATTTAATTTAAATTTTTTTAAAAAAGGACATTCTCCATATCAGAGGCACCATCTCTTCTTATTATCTTCCAAAGAATCTGGGGCAGTAATGTGCATTGTAGGTTGTGCTGTTAGCTTCTTTGCAATATTTCTGGCAGGAGACCCTGGAGATTAGAAAAAACTGGGGACAAGGAAACAAGGTGGCCACAGGAGACTGAGACATACACAGACTTAGAAGTTTGAGTCCCAGAATGGCTAGTGAAGCTAGTCCTGCTTCTAATACACAGGAGAACCAGTAATTTTATTTATTTATTTATTATTTCTATTTATATCCCGCCTTGCCGGACACGCTGGCTCGAGGCAGCTAACAGGGCTAAAATAATGTAAACAATACAGAGATAAAACAGTTAAAAATACAAGACTGGTTAAAACAGCAACATTCCTTCTCTCTCTCACACACACAAACATATATAACAATTTATAACATACCTGAGGATGTTTGATTAAGCGGAATTCTTCTCCCCACCTTAAAAGACAAATAACAATAACAATGCATGTATTAGTAGAGTACTGAACGAAATGATAGGGTTCGAACAAACGAAAATCACTTGTCCTTTTCAGGCAGATGTCTAGAATGCCAATTGTTCTGAGTAACTAAATGCTTAATGGCCACCAGGAAATGGCCAATAGCCAAGGCCATTGACTCAGATGAACCAGACCACAAAGTGTGAGAGCTATCACGGGTGAGCACTACTAATGCAGTAAGTGCGCCCCACAATCAAGGATCAGATGAACCTCCAAGTCAAGCCAGAACAGCTTAGAACCCAAAGCAAAAGTGGGCAATTTTTTTTACAGGATGGCCACATCTGGAAAGAGGAAGCTCTAATGTCTAACTCAGCATCCTCCAAAGCAGGTAGAGCCCCAGATGTGGTCCTCTTCACTGCTCTTATTTTACTCTTCTCCCCAATGGAAACACAAAGCAACTTACATTGTTCCCTACTGAGGAGAAAGCCTGGGTATAAATGAAGTAAATAAATAGCGGGAATATGGTTTTGAGAAGTGTGGCATATATAGTTAACAAAGTCTCTGTGGGAAACTTGGTACCGCAAAATGCCACTTTGAGACTTCTGCTACACAGTGCATAGACAGTCCTTTGGCACAGGACAGATGTGTCTTTATTCCTTGAAATTCCAATATTTCTCTTTGAAATTTAGTTCTTCTGCTTACTCACCCAATGGACCTTAATCTGAAGTGTGTTCTGTCAATTGAAAGCACTTTCACTTCCTAGGGGGAAAAAAAAGAAGTTTTTCCCCCTTCCCACTTAAAAAAAGTTGCTATTAAATACCTTGCCCTTTCATAGAGCTCTATCATCATCTGACAAATGTGTCTGACATCTTAAATCCAAGCAGGAGAATCTCAGCTGTCTCTAAAACTTCCCAGCACAAGCACAATGGAGCTCGGGGGGGGGGGGGGGAGAGACCTCACATCAGCCATTATCTCCGTCTCTTTCCTCCAGTTTCAACATCTTCTGCAATTTTTCCTATAACTACGGTATCTGCATAGATATCCTGAGTTGCTATCTGAATACTGCTAACATATTGCAACCCCCTCATGGTCACACACTTTAGTGTGGTGAGGGGGTTTGTGTGTGTCAGCGAAGCTGAGAGCAATACTGTAAGGGTTCTAAACTCCTAACAGAGTCACTCAAGGCGGAATGTCCACAGCTGAGACACCAGACTAAGATGTATCCAGCCCCTTCGGGGATCCACAGCCACATCAGCAGAAGAGAACGGACAGTTCCAATGGTGATGAGGGCAGAAGATTCCTTGAAGGGTACCTACTGGGCAGCAGCAGTAGTAGTAAGTGACTCTGGTGGAGACAACAGCAGCGATAATAGAGCTAACCCTGGTTAGCACTGCGCAGAAGGTGGCAATGGTAAATCACTTCTGAACAACTCTTACTTCAAAAACCCTATGGATAAAAAGATCAAAATAGTTTCAAGTAACGTGAATGGATTAAATGGACCCAAAAAAAGAAGATGGATATTCTCCCGCCCTGAGCCTGTGGGGAGGGCGGGATAGAAATCTAAATAATAAATAACAATCGAAAAAACTGCAAGCAAATATAATCTGCTTACAAGAGACTCATATTAAAGTAGCTGACCAAAAATATCTACAAGCCAACAAACTTGGCAAAGCCTTTATCTCTTCAGATAAAGAGAAGAAGAAAAGAGGTCTGGTGACCTATGTGAAAGAACATCTATGCCCAGAAATTATCTACACTTCAGAAGATGGACGGATTTTAATGGTACAAATACAAAGGCAAAGTAAAAAGACTCCTATTATAAACATCTATGCTCCAAATCAACATGAAGAGAAATTTTTCAAGACATTGCAGGAACTGATCGCCAAACAAGGAGGAATTTCACATTACCCTTTTTAACCCGTTTTTGATCCGTTGGGGAGTAAACCGGTATAGGGCTGCCATTTCACACATGGCTTTCCCCTTCCGGTAAAGAGCTGGATCTGAAGCTGTTTGCCATTTCAGACTGCACCGCTTTTTCCCGCTTTCTCCTTGCCATTTTTCGCCCGCGTGGGCGATCTCCAGCTTTTTTTAAAACGTTCGCTTTAGAGCGCTATAACGCTATAAAACAACACTCCAGGCATTCCAATGGGGTTGATATATTGCTGTTGTGCTATAGCGTTATACCGTTATAGCGCTATAAAGCGAACGTTAAAAAAAAAGCCAGAGATGGCCCGCACAGGCGAAAAATGGCGGGAAAAAGCGTATCGGAACCAGGAGAGGAAACTGAAGACTACTTGGAAGCGGTTGACAGGTAAAACACTTCAGCCCCGTTTCCTAAACGGGACAGAAGCGTTTGTGTCTGAAATTACAAATATATTCTGGTAGGGAACCGGTTCTAAAACGGTTCTGTCTGAAATGACAGACCAGAAACCATTTGGGAACCGTTCCTCTTCCGGATTATATCGTCTGTCTGAAATTCCTCAAGATTTTGATGAACTTTGCATATTTGGAGACTACAATTTTGTTTTCAATTGAAAGTTGGACAGGAAAACCTCTACTGGGAAACGGAAACAAGGAAATGAACTTCCACCAGCCTTTTTCTATTTGGCAGAAGAAAACAAATGTGTAGATGCTTGGAAAGTAAGAAATCCTCAAAAAAGAGACTATACTTTCTATTCATCAAGACATAAGTCCTGTTCAAGAATAGATATGTGTTGGATCTCCAACACAATAGCCAATGATATATTAGAAGCAGAAATTTTGCCAGCAAGCTTTGCTGATCATAATCCCATTATCTTGGAACTGCAAGATACGCTAAAAAAAAAAGATGGTTATTGAACCTTTTTTATTTTAAACAATGAAAAGTTTATATGAGAATCTAAAAAAGAATTCCAAATGTTTTTTCAACACAATATACAACCAGGTATTTTTATCAAGACGGTGTGGGATGCCTTTAAAGCTTTCGCTAGAGGATGGATGATTTGAGAATCAGCACATGTTAGGAAACAAAGATCAGAAAAATTTCTTCAGATTCAAGAGCAGATCAAAAAACAAGAAAAGCTGAAATATGACCCCTCAACTGAACAGAGAAAATACAACTTACACTTTTGCAACATCAAATGAATTGTTTATTAACACAAGATATAGCAAAAAAAAATGTTTGCCAAACAAAATTATTTTGAAAATGCCAATAAGCCAACTAGATGGCTAGCATATAAAATACGTAAAGAAAAAGAAAATATATCTATAAAATCACTCAATAATGATATGAGAGAAGAGGAAAAATAAATTGGAAGTTTTTTAAAAAATGTGGAAGATTATTATGGAAATTTATACATGAAAACAGAAGCATCACAGGAACAAATTGAAAGATACCTGGAAATTAACAACCCTAAAGTATTTACTGAAGATTAAAAAAAAATTAAATGATCTAATATCAGTAGCTGAATTGATAGAAGCAATGAAAAAACAGAAAAAGGCAAAAACTCCAGGGACCAGATGGCTTTCTGATGGAATTTTACCATGCTTTTGAAGACCAACTGATTGGGCCATTAAAAGCTGTCATCCAAAATATAATAACTGAAGGAGCTACTCCAGATTCATGGAATGAAGCTCTGATATTCTGATAGAAAAGAGGTCAAAAATTACAGACCAATCTCTCTTTTAAATGTGGACTATAAAATTTATGCCTCTATTTTAACCACAAGACTGAAAAAAGTCCTTTCTCAAATTATTCATAAAGACCAAGCAGGCTTTCTCCCTAAAAGACAACTTAGAAACAATCTGAGAATGATTTTGAATGTTCTTGAATTTTATGAAGCACATCCAGAAAAACAAACAGGTTTAATTTTTTTACATGTGGAATGCTTGATAATGTTAGCTGGAACTTTATGTTTGAATTACTATTAAAGGCTCAAGCTGGCATGGAATTTTATAAAATGATCAAAGCAACTTATACTAAACAGCAAGCTAAAATCCTTATTAATGGAGATTTGTCACAAAATATTGAGATACACAAAGGAACTAGACAAGGGTGTCCCCTTTCACCCTTATTGTTTATTTTTGTTCTTGAAGTCCTAAACGATGCAAATTAAACAAATTAAAGGCCTTTGATTTGAAGGAGGAAAATATAAGCTATTAGCTTTTGCAGATAACTTCGTATTCATCCTGGATGAATCCAGTAAGCTCAGTTAAAAAACTGTTAAATTCATTACAAGAATATGGAGAAGTGGCTGGACTTAAAATTAAATTGCAAAAAAACAAAGATGCTTATAAAATATGACTAAATCTCAAGCTCAACAGCTACAAGAATTAGCAGGTTTAGAAATTCAAAAGAAGATTAAATACTTAGGAATAAATATAACAAACAGATGGAAAATAACTACATGGAATTGCTGAAAGAAATCAAGAAAGATTTGGAAAAATGGGGAAATCAGATATCCTTAATGGGAAGCTTTGCTACTATTAAAATGATTATATTACCAAAATTGATTTTTTTTATTTCAAACAATACCTACAATACAAAATCAAAAATATTTCAAAGAAGTTGATAAAATGATACAAAAATTCATTTGGCAGGATAAGAAACCAAGAATAAAACTTAAAGCTTTGCAAGATGCCAAAGAGAGCTGGCTTTGCACTATCAAATTGGCTGCTTTATTATAGACCAGCGGCTTTGTCATGGATAAGAGACTGGGTCACTTTAGAAAATTAAAAACTTTTGAAAATAGAAGGACATGATCTTCTGTTAGGATGGCACGCCTTTATATGGCACGAGAAGGCAGATGCTCATAAATATTTTAAACAACATTTTATTAGGGCATCCCTATTGAAAGTATGGGAAGAAATCAAAAACAACTTTTTTAACAAGACTCCAAAATGGGTTTCCCCATTGGAAGCATTTACAAACCCGAATATTTTACAAGAGGAAATAATTTTAAGATATGAAGATTTTTAGATGCTAGAACAAAATAGAAACTTTAACATGGTGGCAAAAAAAATGCATCCAGATAATGCCAAAGATAAGCCTATAGGCTTCTGCGATGAACCATCAGAATTAGATAAAATACTGATGCATATTGATGAGGAAATTATTTTTAAAATCTATGTATTGCTTTTAGAAAATAAGACTCTAGATGAAGTTGTTAAAAATGTTATGATAAAATGGGCACAAAATCTGGGTTAAAATATTGAGGTAGACCAATGGTCACAGGTTTGGAAAAGCAATATTAAAATTACAAAAGAAATTTCATATAAAGAAAATGTATATAAGATGTTTTATAGATGGTATATTACGCCTGAAAATTTGGTTAAATTTGACCCTAAATGTGCAAATGTTTGTTGGAAATGTCAAAATAAGGTTGGTTCCTTTTATCATATGTGGTGGCTGTGTGATAAAGCAAAAAAATACTGGACATGGATTCATGAAATACTACCAAAAATGTTGAAATGTTCTCTACCCTTTGTTCCTGAAATGTTTTTGTTAAATATTATACCTGAGAGATATAACAAAAATTATTCATATCTCATTTTGTACATAACTACACCTGCTAGAATACTATACGCTAAATATTGGAGAACTGAAACACCTTTGGAAAAAGAAACGTGAAACAAAATTTTGGAAATAGCTGAAATGGATAAACTAACTTTAAATCTGAAAGGCCAATCAGAAACGACTTTTGAAAATGCCTGGGCAAGGTTTACAGTTGACTAGAAGACTACTCCAAATGAACAATATAGTTATTGGAATCCTATTAAGGACAAATGAGTTCCAGAGTTGATACCTTTTGCAAGAGATTTTATTAATGATATAAGGTGAATTTTATAAATGTACTATCATTTAAGCATGAGTTTGTAAAAGAAAGAATTGATAGATCAATATCCCCCACTGCATGTTTGTTTTGTCTTTAAAAATAATAAAAATATCGGGGTGGGGGGAGATAATTCATGCCATGGCGTTCCCCATAACCAGGGCTTTAAAAAAGAGGTGAAAAAGAGGAACTCTCAAGAGAGAAATGAAGTTTTCAAATCTGTATACTGAAAGCTCATGAACTTTTAAACATTTTTAAAAGAATTTTGTCAAAGAGATTCCGGAAGTCCGTTCGGCACCTTCCCCCAGAAAAAAAGCCCTGCCCTTGACTATGTATGGGTGTGAAAGTTGGACAATGAAGAAAGCTGACAGGAAGAAAATTGATTCCTTTGAAATGTGGTGTTAGAAGAGAGTTTTACATGGACCACTAAAAAGACAAATAAGTGGGTTCTAGACCAAAGCAAGCCCGAACACTCCCTAGAAGCTAAAATGACTAAATTGAGGCCATCATACTTTGGTCACACTCTGAGAAGACAAGAGACACTGGAAAAGACAATAATGCTAGGAAAAGTTGAAGGCAGCAGGAAAAGAGGAAGACCCAACGTGAGATGGATGGACTCCATCAAGGCAGCCACGGCCCTCAGTTTGCAAGACCCGAGCCAGGCTGTCAATGACAGGGCGTTTTGGAGGACAAGAATTTGTAGGGTTGCCGTAAGTCAGAAGCGACTTGACAGCACTTAACACACACACTGCAGGCAGAGCCTCCTGACCCCAGCCATGCAACAGACCCTCCCCTTTCCTGTTAATGATGAACCCAAAAAGCAGCACCCCGAAATTCAAACGTTAGTTCACTGCTTTGCGATTCTCAGCCTATCCCTTTGCTCAGCCAAGTTTGGAGCCTTCCTCCAAACCTAAGGAATCTCCTCTGTCAGAGGAAGGCTTTAAACTTGGCTGAGCAGACAAGAAGCCGCTAACTGAGAAGCGGATGGGGCCGACCCAACAGTTCAGCAGTGCAACAGTGTGTGGCTAACAGACAGGCAATTCTGTGTCAACAGTACAGAACCCAAGAAACTGGGATTCGCACTCTTCCGCAAGATGACAAAAAGGCAGATACTTACCCTGGGAATGAAAAACTCATTTGCACTGAATTTATACAGCCACTCATCCAGCAAGTGAAAAAGAAGAGACAGCATGTCATGGCCTGTTGGAACAGAAGAAGGAAAAGCTCAGATGTTCTGGCAGTGCAATACCTCGAGCACCAGGAAGGCCTCCCAAACAAGAGGCAGGCCTCTGGGGAGGAGTGAGTGGGTCTCAGATCTCATCCGAGAACCAGTCTTAGACGGGCCAGGAAGCAGAACACAGCCCCTTGCATAGATTTCCTGCAGCTGGCATCTGTACAACAACAGAATACTCCTACACACACACACACACTCTGCCAGACCCAAATTAAACCTGGGGGAACATTTTAAGCTCAATTTTTTGCTTGCTTATCTCTCATTCATGGAGTCTTTAGCAAATATACTCATATACTATGAACAGGCCTGTTAGGAGAAAGCTGGGTTCTCCATTCCTACTTGTATCTGACGAAGTGAGTTTTTGGTATTGAAGGCTTATACCCAGGAAATCTTGTCGGTCTTTAAAGGTGCTGCTGAACTTGAATCATGCTCCTATAGTCTCTGCTGACATCCCACAATTCCTGTCGATATGAATGTAGCGGCGCTGTATGAATGTGCAGTTTCCAGTGTCACATCTGGGTAGCATCATCCCCTTCTCTTTTATATGCTCCCCCCCATTAAATGTAGCACATCTACAAACACATGTGCAGTATACAGCAAGTATTAGAACAGGTAACTCCTGCACTTTCAATAATCTGTTTAATTGTTGCACAGCAAATTAAAAAGAGTAAAGATAGAAACTGCCCATTTTTGGATGATGAGGGCAGATCAAGGACAGGCAGTGGTAGAAAGTAGTTGTGGGAAGTTGATGCACATATTTTTGCAAGATAAATCAAGGTGAGGTTGTCTGAAATAGGTGAGGAGGTGATCCTAGGAGGGGCAACCCTTTCTATTGGCTAAAGTAAACAGCACCAGAATAGATCACACCAGTTATGCATCTGTGCTTGATATTCAATGAAGTGAAATTAACACTGTACGGGGAAAAACAGGATGAAGTTGAGGAAAGCAAGGGATTGGGATAAAGGATGGATTTGAAGTAATAACTGAGAGAGACAAGCATTACAACAGCTGGGAAAATCTACCATAGAGATTGTCTACTAGTGGCTTCTGACCAGGCACCCTTCCCAAATGCATTGGTGGAAATTGCCGTCAAGTTGCAGACGACTGATGGCAACAGGGTTTTCAAGGCAAAAGACATTCACAGGTGGTTTGCCACTGCCTCCCTTTGTGTAGAAACCCTGGTATTCCTTGGTGGTCTCTCACCCAAGAGCTAAACAGGGCCAACCTGCTTAGCTTCTGAGATCTGACCATCAGGCTAGCCTTGGCCATCTCAGTCAGGGCACTATTGTATTAAGCATCCTGAAAACTCAGTTGCCAGAAGAGTAGTTGCCGTTCTCCATGAGAAGGCCCTGTCTAGGCCGCTTGTTTCAAACACTGCACTTCTGCCAAGCAAGAAAGTGAATGTTTCCCTGCATCTGTACTTCATCAGAAACCCTAAGAAACTGGTGGGAGGAGTAAAATTCTTTGCAGATAACCAATTAAACCAAAGCCCAATTACATGGACAGAGTCCTAGGTCTGGCTCTGCTAATCAGAAATTCACATGCAAGTCATGGAAAATGTCATGGAGAAGAAGACCGAAGCTCCTTTCCTTGCATGCCATGTCCTAATATAAACTGGGCCCTGTCTGCCTGAATTCTCAGGAACAAATGCACATCTGAATGTGTGGACCCAGGGAAAAACATAAAGCGTAGATAGGCCCCAAGTGGCTGTATGCACTCTATAGTCAGGCAGTAGCACCTGGTAAGGGCCACAGTGGCTCAGAGGTTAAGACGCTGAGCTGCAGACCAGAAGGTCTGTAGTTCAGCAGTTCGAGACCCAAGTGAAGGCGTGAGGGAGTGAGCTCCCATCTGTGGCCCCAGCTCCTGCCAACCTAACAGTTCGAAAGCAAGAAATTGCAAGTAGGTATAGTTACTACTTCGGTGGGAAGGTAACAGCGTTCCGTGCACCTCGGCGTTTAGTCATGCCGGCCACATGACCACGGAAACATCTTTGGACAGTGCTGGCTCTTCGGCTTGGAAATGGAGATGAGCACCGCCCCCTAGAGTCGGATTCGACTGGCTTTCGAGCAAGGGGAACCTTTATCTTTACCTTTTTAGCACCTGGTAACCAAATGTTTGCTGTATACACTTGCAGCCCAGGTTGCAATCAGTAGGGGGAGTGGTGCTGCCCTCAATGGTGGGACACATCCATGGCATGCAGAAGGCACTTAGTTTGATCTCAGGTGGCAGGGCTGGGAAGGGCCTCTGACCGGGGCATCAGGATAGGGGCTGATAGTCAGAGGAGGCTCAAAAGATGCAGGCAGGACTCAGTGGTCTGATTCAGTACCAGGCAGCTGTGTATCATCAGGAAGCCAACGCTGGCAGGCTTTCTACGCTTCACTTTCTAGCAATCAGGTCCAGGTCCGTAAGCACCTTCTTACCCTTGGCTTCCACCTCGACTGTGTCCAGGGGCTCAACAGTCTCGGTGTCTGTCATGTACCCAAACATGGCCATCACACATTGCTCAAAGGCCTCTTCCAGAGTGTCTCCCCAGGCATGCAACCTAAGGGAACATTAGTATTCATCAGCCCTCTGCAGAACAGCTCTAAGAAGCAAAAACATAGGAGCCTGCAGGCAAGAAACTTGATGATATCATACTGAAAAGGGCAGTGGAGCTCCACATCAAACAAGAATATCAACAATTTACTTTAAGGAAAAACAAAACAAAACCGAAATCTGTTTTGTTGGCCCTTGAATTGTTGCCCTCTCCCATCTGTAGCCTTTAGGGGTTACCCATATAGCCCCATACTATCAGGATGTCAGATATGTGGACATATGGAACTCACTGCTACAGAATGTAGTGATGACTGCTCTCCCCAAGCAGCTTTAGAAGGTATGCATTCATTGCCTATTCATGGTCCATCAATGTCTACTAGTTGTAATGTTTAAGTCCATGTTCAGAGGAAATGTATCTGTGAATACCAGCTATTGGGAGCAACAACAGGGCTTTGGCCTCATACCCTGCTTGTAGGCCTTCCTGGGGGCATCTAACTAGCTTGTGTAGAAAACATGATGGTGCACTAAATGGACCACTGGTCTGACCTAGCAGGGTTCTTCTTATTTGACCCAAGAAAAGAAGGTATGTGGATCCAATAGTCATAGGTATAACAACAAGAATTGTGCTTAAAATCCTGAGCTCTAACAATTAAGCCACCACTCCACAAAACTTCTCATTTAATGCATATACAATTCAACAGGTATACAATTTTTTAAGAACTAATGTTTGGGACATTATCAACATTCAGGTCATGTCAATATAATCAACCAAGAGCATCCAGCTTCACTCACTGCTGCCTTTGAATTTTAAAATGAAGTGAGTAAAGCTAGATGCTCTTGGTTGAGTATACTGACATGATTTTTGAGCTCTTTATGCCTTTGATGGATTTGTTTTTACTTTATTTAACCTTCGACTTTATATCCCGCTCGAACCCCCTTCTCAGGGGGTCTCAGAGCGGCTTACATATGGTGCTAGTCACACAAATTACCCTAACTATGGCCACAGAGTTATGGGGTTGGGTTACCTACTAGCACCCTTGTGGTGGTAGATTGACACGCTCCTTGGCTCGGGTATGCTGAAACTGGATTATATTACTGACTGGACTGGAGCTTCACATTCATCGGACCTGGATGAAGTTCTGCACCAGCTGAATTATAATAAGGTCCATGATTACTGACCCTGGAAAAAGCTACACTGTATGAAGTACCTATATTTTACAATTATTAGGCATTTATAAAGGTTTCCATTAATTTATGGTGATTGAATGTGGATAGTGTCCAAAAGGTTTGGTTCTCAAAAATGTCTATACCTCGTAATTATAAGTTTTGTGGAATGGTGGTTTCATTGTCAGAGCTCAAAATTTTAAGCACAATTCTTCTTATTAGATCAGGTTGATTAGCCATGTTGGTCTGAAGCAGTACAACAAATTTAGAGTCCAATGGCACCTTTCCTGGATCCACATACTTTCTCTTGCTTACAGTTCAGGTATGGTTCCACCACAGTTTTTCTTTTCCTAAGCAAAGAAAGGGCCAACTGTACTATCACTGGCAAAACATTAGGTAATTCTAAACAATACAAAAATATATAACATCATAAGCAATAAATAGGAACAACTGGTAATGCACTACTTGATCTCCCCAGAGTGTGGGAAAAGACTGCACAAGTGAAGAATACAAACATTTTAAAAATATATATACCTCCCATCCCTTAGATTGATTTTAAGGAAATCCATACTTACTGCACATCAGCAGTATGATCCAAATCTAAACAGGGATTTAAAACAGAGAGGAAAATGAGCTAATTCCACAACTTCAAGCAGATTTAATATCTGCACAGCAAACTAATGACCCCGAACCCCACCAATTACCCCAGAACTTGGGGGGATATCAGCTAATAGGGCCCAAGGTGTCTGTCCCAAGGCGCCTTAGTCTATAATGTCCCTAAGGGGGCCCGGCCGGTCCTGGCTTCTTAAAAATGAACCGCACCGAGATGCAACCCGCCTCAAAGCTATGACCGGCAGAGGGCTGGCTCGTCTCTGGTCAGAGCGAAAATGGACCTCCTCGGCTTCCAAAGCCTTCGCTCCCCTTCGCCCACCTAAACTCGCAACAGCGCATCCACAGGGAGTTCCTAGCAATTCCCCGCAGGCTGGGCCAGTACCTTGGAAGGCTTCTAAAACCCGTATTTGGAAAAGCAGCCGGACCCCCACCTGGGGCGCGCGACCCCTCCCCCGCGTAGCCTTCAGGTTCTACCAGCCATAGAGCTACTCACACTCGTATTTCCTCTGGATAGGAGGATACTTGGCTTTGATGCCTTTTTGCGCCTCGTTCAAGTTATAATCCCGTTGATCGTCTGCCATGGCTAGAGTCCCTTCCTCGTTCGCAAAAGGGGGTGGGGAAAAATGGCCTCCGCTTCAGGGAAGTTTGCAACGGCTGAGGCCCGGATTTAAAGGGACAGCTACCTTTATAAAAAAATAAAATAAAAAAAAGGCCTTATACCCCCACCCCCTCCACACTCCGCGGGCACCAGAGTCTTATCACGATCTGCTGCCTGCACATAAAAAAGACACATAAGAAATATAATACTACTACTAATAAATATAATATACATATTTCTAATTAAGCAGGTTTCATCATGCAAGGATTAAGCGAGGTACTGAGGAGGCTCCACACACCCCCTCCCGGAAAATCTTGGCTTGAGCATTTAACGCAATTGCGCAGTCGTGGTGCTCTTTTGCATAGTTGTGTTGCTTTAAACTCCATAACCCGAGCATTTCTGTCCCAGTCTCCCTCCTCTTGCAGGATAACCACCTTGCTGGCTTCTCTCAGCAGTCCCCATCCCCCCGCAACACGGAGATCAGTGATCCTACTGGCCTACCTTACAAGACTGTTGCAAGAATACCTGAAATGCCTTTCGAGATCTGAATAGAGCTCTCTAGATGCCCCCCCCCCCCCGTAACTGCGGCAAAGGGGCCAGGCTGCCACTGACCAGAGGGGGGCACAAGAGGCAATTTACAGTGCCATCCTAAACAGAGTTACACCCTTCCAAAACCATTGACTTCAACAAAATTAGAAGGGAATAACTGTTTTGTTGTTGTTCAGTGGCAGTCCAGTCCTACTCTTCAAGACCCCATGGACCACATCACGTCAGGCCCTCCTGTTTTCCGCCATCTTCTGGAGTTTGCTCAATTTCGTGTTCGTTGCATCAATAACACTGTCTAACCATCTGATCCTTTGCCATCCCCTTCTTCTTTTGCCTTCAGTCTTTCCCAGCATCAGGGTCTTCTCCAGTGAGTGCTCCCTTCTCATTTGGTGGCCAAAGTATTTGAGCTTCAGCTTCAGTATCTTGCCTTCCAGGGAACAATCAGGGTTTATTTTTTATTTTTTTTAGGATTGACTGATTGTATCTCCTTGCAGTCCAAGGGACTCTCAAGAGTCTTCTCCAGCACCATAATTCAAAAGCATCACTGCTTCCATGACTTCCCCTTCTATTTGCCAAGGAATGATGGGGCCGGATGCCATAATCTTAGTTTTGTTGATGTTTAGTTTCAAGCCATCTTTTGCACTCTCCTCTTTGACCGTTAGCTAGAGGCGCTTTAGGTTCTCTTCACTTTCTGCCATTAGAGTGGTATCGTTTGCATATCTGAGGTTGTTGATGTTTTTCATCCAGGCCAGCATTTCGCATTTCGTATATTGTCACCCTGCATATAAATTAAATAAGCAGGGTGACAACATACATCCTTGCCGTACTCCTTTTCCTATTCTAAAACAATCGGTTGTTCCATACTGTCAGGCTCAACAGCAAGTAAGTCTCCACACACGATTCCAGGGAAGCATTATGCTTTATTACATTACAGGTCCGTTGCCGTGATCTACAGGGATATTGTTAGGAATGACAATTATCGCTTCTTGACCATTATACAGGTTTCTCAGGAGACATGTGAAGTGGTCTGGTACTCCCATCTCTTTAAGGACTGGTCCTGCATTGGGCAGGGGGTTGGATTAGATGGTCTGTATGGCCCCTTCCAATTCTATGATTCTATTCTATGACTTGCCACAATTTGTTGTGACCCATACAATCAAAGGCTTTAGCATAGTCAATGAAGAAGCAGATATTTTTCTGGTACTCCCTTGCTTTCTCCATAATCCAGTGAATATTGGCAATTTAATCTCTTATTCCTCTACGTCTTTGATACCCAGCCTGTACTTCTGGCAGTTCTCTATCCAGGTACTGCTGAAGCCTAGCTTGTAGGATATTGAGCATGACCTTGCTAGTGTGTGAAATGAGTGCAATTGTGCAATAATTTGAACATTCCTGGCATTGCCCTTCTTTGGGACTGGAATGTAAACTGACCTTTTCCAATCGGCCACTGTTGCTTTTTCCAAATTTGCTGGCATATTGAGTGCAGCACTTTAACAGCATCATCTTTTAAGACTTTGAATAGCTCAGCTGGGATACCATCACCTCTGCTAGCTTTACTGTTAGTAATGCTTTCTAAAGTCCATTTGACTTCACACTCTATCAGGACTAACTGACCTTGGGGTTCATTTCAGCGGACAATTAACAGCTCAACAGCAGACAAAAACTCTCACCTACTGCCTCAAACTAGTTTTTCCACCGATCTCCATCCCAGCAAGATCAGCAACTTGACCTACCCCACACCTTCAGGGCGACCAATGCTGGGTCGCTCCTTGCCCCTTTGAACTGCAGACCTGTATCCAGTTGCCTCCCTTAGTTTGCATGTCTTATTGTCTGCCTAGCACCTGCCTGCCACTGGCACTGCCTGCTTAATTGTAACTACCATCAGTTTACTGTGTCTGAAAAGTGGGATAAAAACAGAATAACATATTCTGAATAAGCATATTTATGGTTGCGGTAGTTCAGAAACTTGGGAAAAGATTGTTAGATGGAATCTATTTAGAAATGCCTCCTTGCTTTACTCCAGTCCCCTAGCCACTGGCACTGGGAGATATGTTGACTTTGAGCACAAAGGTTCCATCCAACCCTGCTGGCCAATCACCATCAATGGACCTCTTCTCCTCCAGGATTTTCTCAAAATACTAGTGATTATCAGTAACCCCTGGCAGTGTGTCCTGCATGTGAATTATAGTGTGTGAAGCACTTTCAGTACACATTGTATACATTATGGCCCCGGTCACACGGGAGGATTTGCCCCGCGAAACGGATGGGTTGAGGGCGGATTAAACCGGCACGATCAGATGCCAACATGTGGCAAGCGTCCCGCCCCCAACCTGTCCGTTCCGGCCGAAGATGTGGATCTAAAATAGAGTAGTGAGGCCCCGGTCACACTAGCGGAAAATTTTTAGAGCTGCAGCAAATTGAAGTGCAATATCAGGATCCCCGGCACAATCACATGCCGAGGGGGAAACGATGGGACGAAGAGCGAGGTGAGGCAGCTGCGCAGTTGTACGCATACCATGGGATACGGGCATGTCGGAAAACACGGCCGCCCATGCTGCGCGTTTCCCAGTAAGTAGTAGTCTTTTGCAGGTCTCTTTTAAATCCGCATTTTCGGCCGATAGTGACGGGTTGGGGTGGGTGCGCTACATTTGCCAGATGTTGGCATTTGATTGCGCTGGTTTAATCTGTCTTCAACCTGTCTGTTTCATGGAGCAAATCCTCCCGTGTGACCGGGGCCTGAATGGGCATTATCTACTAGATGACGCGCAGCAACAGCGGCCGTGAGATCACCGATGCGTGGTTATCCCGTGGTATGCGTGATAATGGGGAACTGCGCATGCGCACAACTGCTGCGGCTGGCCCTCCTCGCCCTTCTTAGAGTCGCTTTCTCTGCAGCATGTGATCGTGGCTGCCAGCAGAAGCGCAGAGCCTCAAGGGACCTGTCTGATCCCGCTGCCACGCTTCTGCTGCAGCTTTTCCCGCTAGTGTGACGGGCCCAAATTGTTAATCACATGCTCTTCTCCACTTTTGTAAACCACTTTTATCACATTAGTGATTGTATGTACTATACCTCTCCTACTGCAGTTTTAGACTTGTACAACCCAGTCCCAATCAGAAAGGCAGGCTATAAAGGAAGTGAATAAAAATGTTGGGCCTGTATTTTCCATCCATTAGCTTCATCAGGTGCTCTCCAGCAACAGGTTTTTCTCTTCTTTTTGTCCAAACCATGAATCTCGATGCTGCCCTCCCTCAGCCTTTGGCATACAAAGGACGGGAACATACACTACAAACACTTAGAAAGTTTTATTTCGTCCTAATGTGAAGCGGAGTCATTTCTTCCTCCCATTTTACCCAGGTGCTGAGGTAGTAACAGCCCCCCCTCATTCTTGCAGAACCCCTGGTGCTTTCAGCCCGCATGCCTTCACAGAACAGTTCCGCCGCGTTCACCCCAACCTGCCTTACATGAACGAAAATGGCGACTCGCAGGGAAACTTCAGCCAACGACTGCCCTCTTTCTAAGTCACCGGCGGCAAGGCGCATGGGCACTTTCCCCCTTGAGGCCGTCCACTCAACTCCGCCCCTCCACCTTCGTCGGGAACTCGTGATTGGTGGGGGGGCTTCGGCAGCTGCTCTGCGATTGGTTGGCGTTGGCGCGAACCATCTCTTGCAGTTGCTGTGAGGTAATTTCCGAGAGGCGAAAAAGGACTTAGGAAACAATAGAGTGGTGTCGGCTGGTTAGGCGCGGGAGTTCAGGGAGGCGAAAGAACGGTTGGCGGAACAATTCCTGAGGTGAAAAGCAAACAACCCGGGATTCAGACGTAACGTCGGCAGCGTTTTATCGCCTGCCCTGCAGAAGATAGTCCCCATCATGGCGGATAAAGAAGGTAGGAGAAGTGAGTGCCGAGGGAGCGAAGCCGTGCTAGGCCTCGCTCCTCCTTCCCCCTCCCTGCGCGCGGGCCATGGCGGGTAACATTTAGCCCAATCACCGCAGCCCATTCCTGGGTCCCGCCCCCCCGTGGTTCTCCGCTGTCCAATCTGGTGCGTCACGGGCCCCCGCCTGCGTCCTTTTTCCTCGCTTCCATCGGAAATCTCGGAGACACTGGTCGTCATGAGGTGGGGAGGGCTGCCGGGCCGCTCAGGTGGGCGACGGCGGAGCTGTTCCTTTCCTCTTGGCTTTGCCTTGTTTAGCAAGTTTGGAGTTTAATTCAACAGGTGAAGAGGGGTGGAGGAAGAGGGTTCTTTCACCTGATGAATTACTCAGCCTGACCTGCTACTAAAGTGATAGACACGAGCACGTGTGGGACGTCTTGTAGTTTCAGCGGCACGCTTTTTGAGCGTTTTAGTTGTTTATGTTATTGTTTGCTTGTATTTGCCACTGAGAGCCGAGGCGGATTGTACAGTGTAAATTGGTGAAATCAATAGGATGAGATGTCTTTAAGAAATGTGATAGGGCTAGGATTGCAGAAGTCTGGAATAGAGCATAAAGTATTAG